TGCTGTTGGACACTATAACTCTCCATGTTAATTTGGCAAGGCACAGTGAATAAATGATAGCTAATTTGACACTTGTAGCTTCAACAATATGGCCGCAATGAACTGTCATAGTTATGAAATCCCTTTACAATCTTCAATTCTTGAAATGTTCCCTGAACATCATCAAAATTCCCTTAATTTCTCAAAAATTTCCTCAATTTCAACGAAGTACTCTGAACTTTTTCATAGTTCCATTCAGGTCGAACTCGTTTATCCGGAGTTGATTTTTTTCACTTCCATCATCGATCATCACATGGTAACCATCGGACAGAGAAGCCAATCCCCAATCTATTGGTAATGTCGATTTGAATGATTGAGCTTCTGGTTTGCGAGAAATCGACGATGGAAGCGAAGGAGGGTCTTTTTTAAGCTTTCTTAATTTTGCTAAAATTGCTGAACGTGCTGAAGTTCTCCGAATTTCCGGGTAGATCCATAACCTTTTCTACAAATATTTCTCAATAATTGGAAAGTGCACGAAACTTTTGGGAAGTTCATTCAGCTTTATTGAAAGAAGATGTCTGACAAAATACTATGCAGATCCTCAAACTTTATTTTTCTTTATAAGAGACTTTTAGGCTGGTTCGTCTCTAGTTCCTCAACTTGTTTATCGTGTATTTTGCGAAACTTGTCGTCGTCGGTGCCGGGTTTGAATGGTTACAACAACTCGAGTAAAGGTATGATGTGATATGAGGGGCTCGGTGACCATACAGCAATCGTTTTTGCTTACTGAGCAGAACATCGTAAGTCTAATCTCAGGCCCAGCCACCTTCAAGATTCGTCAATCGCTTTATTTGTTCATATGATTACATGGTAATAAAATAACAACAAGCTGAGGATAAAGGCCTAGCTCAGAAGCTGAGACCCCTGGTGAAAGCTTTGCGCGACGCGGATAAACTCGTTCACGAGGCATCACAAAACCTGGACAACCAAGACTGGACCATGGTGACGCTCCAGCGACCTGAGCCCACGCAGAAGCTCCAACAGCAACTACCTCTGGACAGTTTGGATCAGCTGATTGCATGTGCCCAAATGTTGACGGAGGACGTCAGACAGACGGCTTCGTTCTTCCAAGGCAACGGAACGCTCTTGTTCAAACGAAGCACTTCCTCTTCCACTGCCACAACCACACAGACTCCAACCGGACCCAGCAAGACCACACCCGGAAGTATCAACAACAACAACAGCAACTACAATAACCAAGGCGACTACGTGAGTTTAGAATCGAAGGAAGCCTCGGTCAAATCCAACGCCGAAATTCACGACGCACTGCCGCAGGATTGAGAATGTGGTGCGGAATCCGAATGCGACAGCAGCCGCCGGCAGCGATAAAACGGAATCCCTGAACCCGAACGACAAATCCGTACTGGTTTACTATGCCACGCAAACGGTGACGCACATGGGATACCTAACGCAAGCGATCGACACCTTCCTGCAGACAGTGGAGCACGATCAGCCGCCGAAGTTTTTCCTTGTCTACGGAAAGTTCGTTGTGCTGAGTGCCCACAATCTGGTCAACATCGGAGACATTGTCGCCCCTATTCTGTATTTCGTTTCGAACGAAATTCTCATACAAAAAAAAAAAATTTGTATGAGAATTTCGTTCGAAACGAAATACAGAATAGGGGTGTGTGCATCGGAACGTGTCGCGGGAGAATGTGAAACGCGGATGCCCTGTCCTAAGCGCTCAAAACGTGCGTGGCCAAGACGAAGAAAGCGGCCCAGCACTTCCCCAGTGTTGGACGGCTGTCACAGATGGTCGATTCCGTGGTGGACATTTCGCATCTGGCTAGCGATTTGAAGATCGCCATGCTGGATGCGGTGCAGCAGTAAGCAACCCATTCCTAGGGATTTCTATAGGGATATCTAGTGATCTCAGATTTGAGCATTCTTTTGTGTTTTGCTTTCTGATAGGTGGATTGGTTTGCGATCAGAGGAACGGTTATAGCTTGTATATCGCGGGAAATGATCCAGTATTTTCTCATTTAACCTAATACAAATACAGCATTCCCTCCATGTATGCGGTGGGTGGTACCGTCCACCTACCGCGGTTTTTCGGTTGTCCTTCAGCCAGTTACGTTGGTTTTCTATATGTGACTAGTGTTAACCATAAACTAGTTATCTACAGAAACTAAGCTCAATTGGTTGAGGGACAGTCGAGAAGTAGCAGTGGGTGGACGGTACAACCCACCACATATGGAAGGAATGCTGTACTTAGCCGACTACCGACCGTAAAAGACTTAGGGATCATTCATGAACAACAACATTGATTACCTTTTTTTACAAAATCTACATTTGCCAGCAACACTGACTGGGTGTTTCCTACTAACATAATTCCTAAATTCCCGAAACATTTATGAGGGGTCGTAGAGTTCTCTGCATCTCTCTTAAGTAAATGTTGGACTAACATACCTTTACAATCCCTACCAGTTGCAAGGACGTGGCCAGGAAAATCCTTAACTGTTCGAGAGGGATATGTCTTTATCTGGGACATAGTAATTTTCAAAGTGTTTTTTATGTTACTTCATACGCGAAGTTAACGATTTTCAGAGTTGGTTGGAAATGCTAACATGAAGCTTTAGTGTGATGATTTATTAGCTAGAGAATGATCTTTGGAAGAGGGTAGGTGGATAGTTCCGTTAGAGTACGGCAGTATGAAAATTGAATAGAAGTTGAAAATGAGCGAAGGGCCATTAAAGCGACAGTTTACAAGATGGACGCACATTTTTGCCTAGCCCGTACGATGTACGCGGGGACTTGAAGTATGTCTCCAAGTCCACAGGCAAAAATGTGCGTCCCTCCTGTTGCTCATAAACTGACTGCGGCTGTGGAATAGTTCTAGCGACGTTTTCATCACTACCTAAAGCCCCACGTTTGCGAGAGCATTTCCAGTCGATGGTGTGTTATAATGCAGTTCTTCTTTACCCAACTATTGTGTTGCTCCTCTCGTCATGACCAACGTGATCATCTCAGAGAGAAAGCAGTAGGGTGGTTGTTGCGTGCTGTACCATCATCAGCATTGTTGACGGCTACTCCCGCCTTGAGTTGTTACATTCAAAGTGTTTTTTATGTTACTTCATACGCGAAGTTAACGATTTTCAGAGTTGGTTGGAAATGCTAACATGAAGCTTTAGTGTGATGATTTATTAGCTAGAGAATGATCTTTGGAAGAGGGTAGGTGGATAGTTCCGTTAGAGTACGGCAATATGAAAATTGAATAGAAGTTGAAAATGAGCGAAGGGCCATTAAAGCGACAGTTTACAAGATGGACGCACATTTTTGCCTAGCCCGTACGATGTACGCGGGGACTTGAAGTATGTCTCCAAGTCCACAGGCAAAAATGTGCGTCCCTCCTGTTGCTCATAAACTGACTGCGGCTGTGGAATAGTTCTAGCGACGTTTTCATCACTACCTAAAGCCCCACGTTTGCGAGAGCATTTCCAGTCGATGGTGTGTTATAATGCAGTTCTTCTTTACCCAACTATTGTGTTGCTCTATTTCCTACTTACTATCTGTCCAGTAATAGATATCCGTCTTGCTCTTAATAGATTTGAATTCGGGTCACCTACGATATTGTGCAACTTGTTCGATGCTAATGCTAATATGATTACATGGTAATAACAACAACTCGATGGTTGAAAAGGAGCTCGTTTGCCTATTGGCAAACGTTTTTGCTTACTGAGTAGAAGATCGTAGGTTCATTCCCAAGCTCCTTCGCGTTATATGATCGTTAGGACATCAATTCAGCTTATCGTTTACCAAAACGTACCCTGCTGCAATCCCAACCTGATTCCTCGTGGAAGTGCAGAGGTGTTCTAGGTTTCCATCAAAGCGAGTGTCACGTCAACACATTCCTACCCTTTCCTTTCTTGACCTGCGTTCGAGCGCTGGTATTGCCTAGTTTGGGATCACCAGTTTTTACACATTGAGGATGATTTCTAGTCCCAGGCATCATCTATTGGTTCTCTGTGTAATTACACCTGATCTGGCAATAACAGAGTAGCAACCGTTGGCGGTCAATCGTGCTCATGCCTAATCCGGAACATGATTCCAAGGTACGAGAAGAGTTTTAAGGATATTTGTAAGTTTAAGGAGAATCCCATGATAATTCCAAGAAGAACTCCAAGGTAATTATGGTAACAAGTTAATTGAATGTTGATTTTCAATAGGTTAACAATTTGAAAAAGTAAGACATAACCCCAACAAACAATTTTAACTGCAGATTATTTTATACAGGAAAAATTTAGCGACATAATAAGTTGGTGCAGAAAAACACATCACCAGCTAGAATAAACTTTTACATTCATAAACAATAAAAAAATAAAAACAAAATCTTAAGGTTTACTGATTTTTCCGGTTCTTCCGTCTAATTTCCGGGTTCTTCCCGGTTCACTGGTCGCTCTGCTCATAGGATTAACGCAATCCGTCTGAGATTGTCTTACGAACGGAATATTTGAATAGCTCCAAGCGATTCTACTTCAATTGTACCACTCAAAACAAAACAACTCTTTAGCTTCCATAGCCTACGGTTTCTTTTATCGAATGTAAACAAAAGCAGCGCAATTGCACAAATTTGTATTATTCCTTCTGAGACGGTTTTCCCATAGGGTACCTCTCCTCCTGACAGCAGGACATCCACCAAACGAACATTCCGACCTTTATTAGTGCGAATCACTTTTTCCTCTGCAGCCAGCACTAGACTTGGTTCTTTGAAGACAACCGATGGAAAGTAACCTGCTGCGGGCCAGTTATTTACCAGATTGTCAACTGTCGAGCGCGCAGACCAACACACACCCACCCACACAATCACAAAGCTTTTGGAAGACGCAGGCCATCTGTTCTTAGTTGTTTTCCAGCAACGAAGTGAGAAAAAAAAAACAGCAGGTATTTAATGCGTAACTCTTTTCCGGAAGGTTTATTCTGCGCGTTAAATGAAGAATAGGATAGGAAAGTTTTGTACTTACGTTTCTGTTTTGCTTTATCCGTCAGCATCTTGCTATTTGTTATGATATCCGATTCAATCCAGTGATTAACTTGTTGCTGCGGCTGCTGCTGCTGCTGTTGCAGATGATGATGCTGTGTCTGGTAATGTAACGATGTTAGTGCTTGTTGCTGTTGAGTTGGTGACAATGAGTGCAACTGATGCGAATAATAATGATGATAGAACGGCTGCTGATGATGTGGATGTTGCTGCTGCTGTAGATGCGGATGACGATGGTGATAATCCAAGTTATCCTGCGAGTGCGATTTCGCCACTTTCAACGATTTGAATCCATTTATGATATTGTCATTGATTAGCGAGTCCAAATCACTACCGAACAGTAGGTCGTCAATGTTACGATTGACGGCTAGGATACGATGGCCGCTTCCGTTGCTGGATCCGGTACGGCTGGATCCGCTACCGCTACTGCCGCTTCCGTTACCGTTTCCCCCTCCGCCGCTGCCGCCACCACTGAGTACGAAACCGCTCAGACTATCCTGGCTGCCACTGACTAGAAGCGATGTAGTCGCCCCTGCTGTAGCTCCTCCCAGGTGGCTTCCCAAACCTACTACTGCTCCGCCTGCTCCAGTAACGGACAAACCACTGTTGACGCTGCTGTTGCCACTATTGTTATTGTTTCCACCGGACCCCCCACCACTGTTGTTGAGTGTTGCGGCCAGATGAGGGGGGACTATCATGCCCCCGGTAAACACATTCACCCGCGCGTTCAATTCGAATCAATTGCTGCCTCCTTCCGGAATGAGCTTCTAGGTGCCCACTCCGGGATTTTCTTCTTCCGAAACACCCTTATCTCTTAGCACGACTCGATTCGATATCTTCTCACTTCAACCAAACTTTTACTCTTCACGCGAAGTAAAATTTACAATCGATCTATTTACAATCAGCACTTGCACGGCTCACACCATAATCGCTTATTCGACATCGAGAGCAAATCGACACTATTATTGCACTGCACACATTTGAACCTTATTCGCTTAGAACTAGCAAACCCCACCACTCGATGGGACACACTGCGAACATCTTCTTCACTATGCCAAGCCCCAAACCGAATACACCAAGCTTGGTATCTTTCTCTTCCTGCCCCCAATTCCCCGGACACTTTCTCGGGAAAATCACCCCCCTAAATACGGTCGATGCGATGACAAAGAAAATCTTCACGATTAGTCACACAAGTAAATTTTCCAGCTGCTTCTCGTGTGTGGGCACACTCTTCTCTTTCTTCACCGGCAATAACCCGTCCCGGAGCCGCTAGACGCAATGCTCTGCTGTTCGGGCGAGAGTTTGAATATGCGGGCTGCTACTGCTGCTGCTGCTGCTGCTGTAGCTGGCACTCTGGTGAGTATCACAAACAATTCCGTTTCTTTCTAGTTTGCTCCTAGTGCTGCTGTGCTATTTGTTCGCGATTTTTCCCTATTATTGTTATTGTTATATTTCATTTATTTGCACAGGGATCAGTTTCATGCAACGGGGACACACAGACACACATACACACGTAAACATCCACGTTGGCTTTTGTTATTGTGCTCCTGTGTTCCGTACTGACTGACGGGTCGGGGTGGTGGTGCCACTTCCACACTGCTGCTACTGTTTGACGCTGCAGCTGATGTATGCACCAGGCGACGATGGCGTGATGGGAGCAGCGCACAGGAAGCACTTCATTGAGGGTCCTGTTTTGTTCGGGAGTGGTCGCCGATTGTGTTAGGCCTGAAAGGAGAAAGGAAAGCCGATTGTTAGCAATTGTCTTTTTATTGTGGAGAAAATACTATAATCACATGGGAACGGCAGGCGCTAAATCTAAGTCGCAGAATCAACCTAATGTTTGCGCAAGCTCGTCGATCGACAACAATAACAATCATATACAGTGTTTTGCATGTCATAGCTAATTGAAACGAGGTACTTTTGAGACGCCACAGATTCAGGAATCGCAATTCATGGGGAAATTCTTAGATCAACCGGTTTCTAACAAAGTGAATGTTTGTGCAATACGGTTTGATGAAACAGCTGATAGATGGAGATAAGCAACTAGTTCACACTGCGATTGTGTGAGATGATTGTTCTGCTTTACGCGATGTAGACCGATGACCTGGATGCCCTCACAGACGTGTTGATGTACGAGGGATAAATCACTTCTTGAACGATATCTAAATGTGGCAAACGCGTCAGATTGCTACAGCCAGAATTCGTCAGTATGCTGACTTGTTTAATTTCTTTGTTGATGCATCGCCGGTCTGTCTCATCATTCGAGATCCAGTTGTGAGGTCACCCATGGTGAATACTTCATTGAGTTTTCATAAAAATTTAAGTTGCAAACTTAAACACTTCTGCCTTTTTAAGTAATTTTGAGTATTTTTTTTTAAGTGGTGAAAATTCAAATATCTCAAAATGATCTTGTTTAATTTTAATAATTAAAAAAAGATCATAAAAATTGACAAAAATCTTATAACAAGAGCTTTGGGTAAATTTTTTGAACTTTTTGTTAGTACGCATTACTATGTAATTTCTACACAGGAAACAATATTTGAGACATTTTAAATCGTTTTCTGTGCGAAAATTATTTAAAAAAGCGTGCTGACAAGAAGTTCAAAAAATGGACAAAAAGTTCTTAGTTAAAGATGCTAATTTCAAATAACAGACCAGAGTGGTAATTTTTATACGATAGAATGAGGAGATGAAAGTATAGAATTGATAGTTTCGTTTGGAGTACGGCAGTGTGAAAATTGCATATAGAGAGTAGAAAGCGAGCAAAGACAACTTTAGGAGGGTACAAATCGGTTTGATCATCTCTCTTTACCAAACTCCCCCGTTGGAGAGGGATGGGGAGGGGTATTCCCCCCCGCCATCACTGGCAAAAAGAGATGATCACCGACATGCTCAAATACCGACGATGTGTTTGAAACAGTTCTACCGATTTTTACCGCACTCCAGTTGTTATCTGAAGGAAGGCATCCAGTCGTAGGTTTGTAAATTGCAGCTATTGTTACCTCTAGCACGGTATGTGCTCCTGTCATCGTCGACTTGACGATCTCGAGACATCCATAATTTAGATTAATGGGCACAAATGTTCATAATTAGCCAGAATACAGTCATGGTTCCTATATATGGAACCTGGAGATAACGGAACGGTCCTCGAAAGATCCGGAACATCCGTAAAAGTGGTCTATCCATAAACCTGATCCTAGAACTCCGCGGTTTTTTTTCCAAAAACATTAGGAATTGTGATATAAGAACTAATTTGGGTTCATGACATAAACATGGACTCGTATGGCCATCGGACCGTCCTCCGGAAGATTAGGAACATCCGTAAAGGTGTTCAATCTATGAAACTGATCCTAGAGCTCCGCGGGTTTTTTTTTTCGAAAACACTTGGGACTGTCATAAACATGTACCTAGAAGGCCATGGGACCGTCCTCCGGAAGATCTGGAACATTCTTAAAAATGGTCAATTCATGAAATTGATCCTAGAACTCCGCGGTTTTTTCGAAAGCACTAGTAAGTGTGATATAAGAAATTATTTGGGGTCATGACATAAACATGAACCTGTATGGCCATAAGACCGTCCTCTGAAAGATTCGGAACATCCGTAAAAGTGGTCAATCCACGAAACTGATCCTAGAGTTCTACGGTTTTTTCGAAAGCATTTGAAACTGTGATATAATAAAGAATTTGGGGTCATGACATAAACATGGACCAAGATGGCCATGGGGCCGTCCTCTGGTAGGTCCGAAACATCCGTAAAAGAGGTCAACCAATGAAACTGATCCTAGAGCTCCGCAGTTTTTTCAAAAACATTCGGAAATGTGATATAAACATGTATCTTCATGGCCATGGGATCGTCGTCTGGAAGATCTGGAACATCCGTAATATGGTCAATCCATAAAACTGATCCACGAGTTCCACGGTTTTTACGAAAACACGTGGAACTGTGATATAAGAAATAATTTAGGGTCGTAGCATAAACATGGACCCGAATGACCATGAAACCGTCTTCCAGAAGATCCGTAAAATTGGTGCATCAATGATACTGATTCTAGAAATTCGCGGTTTTCTCGAAAACACTTCAAACTGTGAAGTTTTCGAAAAAATCACGGCTTTTTTTACAGTTTCATGTATGAAACACTTTTACGGATGTTCTGGATCTTCCGACTGACGAATGGCCATCCAGGTTCATGTTTATGTCACGACTAAAAATTCATTCTTTAACAAAGTTGCTAATATTTTTAAATAAACTGTGTAGCTCTAGGATCAGTTTCATGAAATTACCTCTTTTAAGGATGTTCCAGATCTTCCAGAGGACGGTCTCATGCCCATACAGGCCCATATTTACGTCACGACCTATTTTTTTCCTATGTCACAGTTCCAAGGGATTTAAAAAAAAACTGCTGAGCAGTTTCATGGATGAACCAATTTTACCGATGCTCCATAGCCAACCGGGTCAATATTTATGTCACTACCCCAAATTCTTTCTTATATTACAGTTCCACGTGTTTTCGAAAGAACTGGATCAGTTTCATGGATGGTTACTAGTGTTTTCGAAAAAAAAAAACAACCACGGAGCTCTAGAAACAGTTTCATGGATGAATCACTTTTACGGATGTTCCGGTTCTTCCGGAGGACGGTTCCATAGCCAACCGGGTCCATTTTTATGTCACAACCCAAAATTCTTTCTTATATCACAGTTCCACGTGTTTTCGAAAAAATCGCGGAGCTCTAGGATCAGTTTCATGAATAGACCACTTTTGCGGATGTTTTTGATTTTCCGGAGAACTCCATAGTCATCTGGGACCATGTTTATGTCATGACCCCAAATTCTTTCTTATATCACAGTTCCAAGTGTTATCGAAAAAGCGCGGAGCTCTAGGATCAGTTTCATGGATTGACCACTTTTACAGATGTTCCGGATCTTCCTGAGCACGCTCCTATGGCCATCCGGGTGCGTGTTTATGTCATGAATCCAAATTCTTTCGTAAATCACAGTTCTTAATGTAAAAAAAAACACGGAGCTCTAGGATCAGTTTCGTAAATTGACTAATTTTACGGATGTTCTGAATCTTCTGGAGGACCGTTCCGTTGTCTCCAGGATCCATATATAGGAACCATGACTGTATTTTGGCTAATTATGAACATTTGTAACCATTAATTTAATTTATGGATCTTTGGCCACTTGCAAAACCCATAAACACTTCTTTAAAAAAAAACGTGTAACGACTCTTTTCGCTTTTGAATAAAGTAGAAGACCTTATTTTTAATCTTTTTTCAATCAAAATAATCTACAGACCCTAGGAATTCTAGAAGCACCACATTTTTTTTAATTCATCTAGAAATGACTAAGTTTTTCGGAGGCATCGTATTCGGAGTGTTAATGAACTTTCAACTATGAACTGTAACACTGCAATCGAATTTGAAACAAAACCCATCAATGTTCTGGAGGTTCGTGAAGCAACAAAGGGCAAGCAATCGTGTTCCGGACAATGTCAAGTATGGTGATGCTTTGGCCTGCTCTTCTGAAGAGGCAGCTAATCTTTTTTCGACCTTCTTTCAAAGTGTGTTTAATGCGGAGTCGCCCCAACCTCACCCGGGTTGTTTTCAAAATGTGCCATCCCATGATATCCACCTTCCTTTTTTCAATTTTTCTCGTGAGGAAGTGTTGAGAGCGTTAGCCAAACTAGATGCGTCGAAAGGAGCCGGAGTCGACGGTTTAACTCCAACACTGTTGAAGAATTGCGCCGAGTCTATAGTTAAACCTTTGACGATACTGTTCAATAGATCGTTAAATGAAAAAACATTCCCAGGTTTATGGAAAACTGCCAAAATGATTCCCATCCACAAATCGGGTAGCGTGCGGCACGTTGAAAATTACCGCGGGATCTCGATTCTCTGTTGCCTGGGAAAGCTCTTTGAATCCTTGGTCCACGAGGTCTTACTGTCTGCAGCAAAACCGATAATTTCGGAATACCAGCATGGATTCGTTCCCCATCGCTCTGCAACAACCAACTTATTATGCTACACCAACGTTTTGTTTCGTGAGATTGAAAGCCGGAATCAAGTGGACTCTGTATACATTGATTTTTCGAAAGCATTTGATACTGTTCCGCATAGCTATGCCGTGGAAAAGCTGAGACATATGGGTTTTCCCGATTGGATAGCCGACTGGCTAATGTCTTACCTGACTGGTAGGAAAGCATTCGTCCAGGTGAACTCAGCACGATCCAGGACCTTCTACATTCCATCTGGAGTTCCACAAGGGAGTGTGTTAGGTCCATTGATCTTTGTGCTCTTCATCAATGACTTGTGCCTGCAAATATCTTCTGGAAAGTTGTTTTTTGCCGACGACCTCAAAATCTTCAGAGTCATCAAGTCTGTTTTGGACTGTGTTGCTCTGCAGATTGACATCGATGCCCTTTCACGATGGTGCAAGGAAAATGGAATGTGCGTGAACATCAATAAGTGCAAGGTGATCACTTTTAGCCGTTGTTGGATTCCCATCAATCATCTTTACAATATTGACACTGCTCCGCTGGAACGTGTGCAGTCTATCCGTGATTTAGGAGTTATCATGGATTGTAAGCTTCGATTCAACGAACATATATCCACCGTTACTGCCAAAGCCTTCTCCGTTCTTGGGTTCATTCGCCGCAATGCATCTCAATTCACCGACGTGCACACATTAAAAGCCTTGTTCTGTGCTTTAGTGCGAAGTATCCTGG